GTTATGCAGCATAGGTAACCAACGCAAAGAGGGGGTGTTGGGACTTGGGAATTCCAGACGGAGAAGGCAGTGTGACAGGTTGAGGGTCCGAGCGCCCCAATTTTCTGAGTTCTCCCCAGTCCTCTCCCCAAGGACTGACACAGCAGGTTTCAAGGTCCCTGCTCATGCCTTCCATCTCAGGAATCTTCCAGCCCTGGAGAGCCAACTCAGCCGGGGAAAGAACCTGGCTCATGGGCAACCAACGCTCCACTGGCTGACTGCCCATGAGTAGCGTGGCCTGGACCAATCAAGGCCTTCCTGGCAATTTGTCAGAGCGCTGTGGGTTAGAGCTGCAAGGTCATGGGTCTCTAAAGGCCACGGAAAAGCAGAAGGATGCTTAGAAGAAACGGAGTAGACGCACAGAGAGACGCAGAGTGGCCCAGGAGAGAGAAGGGGGGGAGAGTGGCCCTTCTCGCTCTCAGCACGGCACCGGGAATTTGCTGGTGATCTCTGGGTCTAGGGAGCTGAAGACCCTCACGCCAGAACCTTCTCTCCTGCTTGAGCTCCGCCTCAACGCCGGTTCCTTTCTCTGCACTGATTGACTTTCCTTGTCTGCAGTAACCCCATTACCGGGGGGATACCTACCAGACCAAGACTAGGCCCCTGCCTCCCAAATTCTGCTTCATAAAGAATTCAGGTTTATGGACTGAATATAGTTGAGGAAAGGCCACGTCAAATCCCTCATAATAGAATTGCACTTTAGGAATGACTTCAGCTAATCAATTAAACTTAAAAATATGTTTTGAGTTCCTAATGTGCATAGGCAGCGTATTCGTTCAGTCAATGACGCATTCACTCATTCGTTTGTTTAGAAACTACTCATTGAGTACCTGCCATTTGCCAGGTAGTGCTGGAGGTCCCAAGGTTGTAGGGGAGAACAAAATAGGGCACTGTTGTCATGTTCCCAAAACGGATTGTGTGACACACAGGTCCCCTAAGGAGCTCTATGAAAAGCTTAAATCTAAATAACTTTGGGGGGCACCTCATTAGGTACCTCCCTCTTAAAGATTTTAAATGCAGGGCGCCTGGGTGGCTCAGTAGGTTAGGCGGCCGACTTCAGCTCAGGTCATGATCTCGCGGTCTGTGGGTTCGAGCCCCGCGTCGGGCTCTGTGCTGGCAGCTCGGAGCCTGGAGCCTGCTTCCGATTCTGTGTCCCCCCCCCCCACTCTCTGCCCCTCCCCTGCTTGCTCTGTGTGTGTGCATCTCTCTCTCTCAAAAATAATAAACATTAAAAAATTTTTTTAATTAAAAAAAAGATTTTAAATGCATAATCATGTCAAAGGCACAGATAAGTCCTGCAGTAAGAAACTTGTTTTGCTTTCTTTAGTCCAGTACTTACCAAGGACATTGGATCACGGGAATATTTTTTTCCTATGAAACTTCTTTGCATGCCACAGATTGGGGGCTCTGTGTGACCCACTCTAAGGAATGGCACTCTGTGGTCTGCGTTGTCTGTATCTAGAGTCTTCTTTTTTTTCTTTCTCCTTCCTTCTCTCCTCCCTCCACCCATTTTCTTTAAAGAAACATCTGAGGCCAAAAGACATAGTGGTTCTGCCCAAGGTCACTTGGGACTCACGGGAAAACCTGGACTAAGCCGGGTGCCTTCCCAGCATAGACTAGCAGGCACCATTAGAAACGCTCACCCTATACATAGGAAAACTAAAACAGCAGCCACCTCTGCCCTGCATTAAGTGAAAGGCACCGGTTTGAGATATGACGGGGTTTGAGAGGCAGGCGAGAGAATCCTCCGGGTTGATGGAGAAAGGAAACCAAAGAGGGACGGAGTCCCTTCTTGGGGAAGTTCAACTCTGCATCCGGCCAGACTCTTCATCCGCGCATGCTCAGTGATGCTCTGCACCGGGGATACAGAGGCGGGTCCCCAGGGGCAGGGGGCGCTCGAGAGCCAGAGCAGGTTGAATGAATTGGCAGATGGGCCGGGAGTCAGGGGCGCTGTTGGAGAATCAGAGCCCCTGGAGTCAGGACTGGGCCCGAAGGACAGGGACGCAGCCACAAGTGCCCTGTCGCCGAGTGATGGAGTGAGCGTCCCCATCGTGGCCACCACCACTGGGCCTCGCTGTTAGTGCCTGCCGCCTTTCGCGTGCTGCAGGAGACATGCTTGGCTCAGATGTCTCCACCCAAGGCAGCGCCCTCTCTCTGGGGTCACCCCCCAAGCCGAAGCCGGAGTCCCTGAGGCTGGGAGCGCTCAGGAAGCTCCCTCCAGGCCTCACGCGTGAGAGAAACCAGACAGAACCCGCAGGACACCCCGTCTCCAGTTCCCACCAGCCTAGAGGCTGAATCCCCACCTGCAGCACTGGGCTCCTCCAAGCTTGTGGGGCTATACGTGTCTCTGAAGGTCACAGTTTCCTTGTCATCTTGGCCTCCTTGGAAAGGGGCTCCAAATCTAAGCTTCTTCCGACAAGATTTGAGGCTGTTTACAGAACGAAACAGTATGAAAGAAGGTATCTCAAAATGAAAAATAATGATAAGAAAGGCCATTTTAAAGAGTCTGAAAAATGCAGAAATAAATGTTGGCACTCATTTATATCATCCACACTGTGCACTGAATTCAGTTAGAAGATCTTGGCTCTTGAAACAAAGGGAAATATGTGACCTACATAGCTTTTAGTGACAAGAGACAGCATGGATGTTTGTGGGCATAAAACGCTTTCATCGTCTCTTCCTGGAATCCAGCGCTGATTGAATTGGGCTTTATATTGGCACCATGCTTTCTGTTCTGATTTTAAAAGACACAGAAGTATTGTTCAAGTGAGTGACACCTTGAATGGCTCCAAAAAGATCAAGGGTACGCCACGGATGTCTGACTTAGCGTGATGAGATAAGACCGTCCGAACAATGGGGCTTTGAATTTGAAGTTCAGGTTTCAGGTGATCGGGACAAATAGGAAGCTAAATCGGGGTGCAGATTTTTCAGTGTCCACTAAGACACTTCCGCTCCCCCAGAGGGCTCTTCCTGAGGACTAACGTGCCCTGTAGCTAGATGAGTAAGACACTTAATGTCATCAATTGTACGGTTTAGCAAAGGAGAAGACAGACAGAGCTGCTCTGCCAACAATAAGATTTTCAAGCCCCTCTACAAAAGCTGCCTTTATTAATGTTTAGTTCCATGAATCATACATGCCCATTATACACACTTCGTAAAAGCCATAAAAGCAATATGAAAAATAAAATGTAGTCCCTCAAAAACCCACCACCCAGACTGAGTCCCATTAGCCTTTTATTATACGTTTTTCTTATGTAAATACATTCAGGCTGAAATAGATGCGCACACACACACACACACACACACACACTGAAATGGACCCCTTCTAGACACACTGCTCCTTAAACATTTTTTAGACATAATAATGTCTTGTTTTAATAACTGTATAATCTTCCAAATTTTAGGTGTGCCATAAGTTTTTAGTTTGAAAATTCTCTTTTAATGGGCTTCTCCGTTGTTTCCAAATTCTAAAAACACCAAGATGCATACCCTTTAACTCTAGAGGTAGAATTCAAGTTGCTCACTTAAAGGACATGCAGATTACAGGATGCCGAAGCATCTTCATTCAGATTACCTTCCCCGAAAGTTGTTACCCGATCAACTGGATAGCCATAGGCTATTTGAACCGTGATCTTTTGTAAATCGAACTCTCATATACACATGGATCTGTTTCCTGAATCTCTTGGCTAGAATGAAGCGTCTGTGGTTTTGAGCCCTGGTACCTTATGTGCTAATACAGTGGTTTTACTTCATGGAGCAAAGTGTCCTGTGTGATTTTTCTAGGATTTCTTAAAAACAAAATGAGCCTTCTAGATGAATTTTAGAATCTTTTTGTCAGAACCAGGAAGAGTTCTGCTGGAATGTGGATAGGAATTATATTGAATCCATAAATCAATCTCGAAGAAATTTATACCCTATAACATGTAGAGTCTTCCCATCTAAGAACAAGAAGAAGCTCTTCTTACCCTTATCTTTATGCTGAGGTTTTCTTTATGCTGATTCTTTCTTTCCTAAAACTCCTGCCCATTTCTTATTCTTATCATCCATGGGCATACTGTACGTTTTGTTGCTTTTGTGCATAAGACCTTTTCTTCCATCCGATGACTGCCTTTTATGCCATATACAGGAAAACTACAGGCTCACATCTCAACTGACCACCTCCATGAACATTTTGAACATGATGATTGCATCCAACAACTTTCCAGGCTTTCTCTTGGCTCTGCCGTCACGATAACGCATGGCGTCTGCATATAATGAGTATTCTGTTGCCTCACCCAGTGTATTCTGCTCAGGGCCGGAGATGGAAGGAAGAGACTTGAAATTTGGATTTGCAAACGGGCTGGGGGCAGAGTTGAGCAGCTATCTCAGCAAAAGGTAGCCTCGGCTGGAATGTTCTAAGATTGGATTTTTTACTGTCCTGGCCCAAAGCCTCCAAGTCTTCTAGATTCATCTGCACCTGTAGACATGTGTGATTTTTGTGCACAAAAGAGCTCCTGATTAAGTTTCCTCCCCCCCCCCCCCCATCACATGAACTCTGGTAGCCTCTGAGCCCCCTTGCCCCTTGTCCTGAGACAGCCACCCTCCCTTCCAGATGGAGGATGCCCAGCTGCGCTCCGCTGAGCTCCCCGGCCCCTCCTGCCCCTAGGGTGTGTTTCGGGACAGCTGACTGTTGTTTCCACCATGTGCTCTGTCAATGTGAAGCTTTGCTTTCTTTAAGTGGTCTGTGGGGTCTCGGACAGAGCGGGAAGAGGTTCAAGACCAGGAGGCTTTCCCTCATTTTCTCTTGGATCTTGTTCTACCTGAACGCAACGGTGAGATTTCAGGCCGCAGTAAGTATCTTGGAAGAATCACGCTCGGGGGGGTGGGTGTTGAGACCTGGCATGACTGATGTTTTAAATACTGTCTCCCCACCTGCTTCTTTCTGTTGGTTCCCAATTCTATAGCCAGGGCCTCTTACTCACTTTGCTTTTCATTGTCTGTTCCTTCTACTCTCAACGAGAGGAGCTCCAGAAAATCCCTTACAAAAAGAATCATCATTTCCATTATCCTGGAGTGGAAAAAGGAAAAAAAAAGCGGCATGCAGATTGTGCAAGTCGTCTAGAGAACAAAAACGCATGGCTTTTCCCTCCAGTTCTAAGAATTGGGCAAGTCATTAAAAATAACTGAAAACCATCAAAATTTCTGAGAAGTACGCTGCTTCAACTCTTTCACATATACACACATATATAACTGCACATACATATATAATCACACACATATATATATAACCACACATATATATAACCACACACACATACACACACATATACACACATATATATAACCGCACATATATATATAACCACACACACACATATATAAATGCACATATGTATATACATACACACACACACACACACACACACACAGTAAAAGCTTGGATTGCGAGTAACTTGTTCTGCGAGTGTTCCGCAAGACGATCAAACATTTCTAATAAACTTCAGCTTGATAAATGAGCGATGTCTTGCAATACGAGTAGTACATGATGCCGAATGTCACATGATCACCACTGAGCCAAAGGTTCTCCGTGTCTCTCACCGCAGCATTGTGGGTGATCATCTCCCATGCTCGGTTGCTTGGTCTCAGGCCCCGGTGCTTGGCAGAAATCAGTGATCCGAAATCAGTTTTTCAGAATGCTGGAAGGTGCCCACAACGGGCACTAGTGTATTTTTTGTGGAGAGTCCTTTGCTTTTCCTGTGGAGAGTCCTTTGCTTTTCCATCCAAGAGTGAGCTTAGGGATGCTTTGTTTCATTCTAGGTCAGGCTGCCTGCGGATAGAGACCCTTTCCTCTGCTGCCTTATTGCCAGTTACGTTAAATACAGTATATGACAAGAGTTTATTAGCACCGTACTGTAGTTAACACCGATGCAAGCGTATACCACGGCCCCCACACAGAAGATTCCATTGATAGGTAGCAGATTCCTATCTATCCAGATAGAAAGATTCCACTGATAGATGGCAGTGATTCCGTTAGTGATCATGAAAGTCATCCTACACAATAACCCTCCTCTCTCTCGTCTCCCTCACACCAGCCATGAAGGTTTTCAAAGGTAAGTGCAAGTTCATTTGTTTATTTTTCTTTGTATTTTATATTTTCTTTATTATTAATTATTATTATTTATTCTTTATATTTCTTTATTATTATATTTATTATTAATATTATTTATTATATATATTAAAGTATTCTATCATTTTCTACGAGTATTTTTGGGTTGTAGAAATGAATCATCTGAGTTTCCATTATTTCTTATGGGGAAATTCACTGTGATAATCAAGCGCTTTGGATTGCAAGCACGTTTCCAGAACAAATTATGCTTGCAAAATATATGTGTGTGTGTGTGTGTGTGTTATATAATCGTACACACTCATATATAACACTTAAATCCCAGCTCCTCTCTTTACTATGTAACTTTGCAAAATTACTTACACTTTCCTTTTTGTTTTTTGATGTTCACTTATTTTTGAGAAAGAGAGAGAGAGCGTAAGCAGGGGAGGAGCAGACAGAGGGGGACAGAGGATCCAAAGCAGACTCTGTGCTGACAGCAGAAGACCCAACGTGGGGCTCGAACTCACAAACCCTGAGATCATGATCTGAGCTGAAGTTGGACACTTAACTGACTAAGCCACCCAGGCGCCCCTGGAAAGTTAAACTTTCTAAAATGTTTTAATGTTTATTATTTTTGAGAAAGAGACAGACAGAGGGCGAGTGGCAGAGGGGCAGAGAGGGGCAACACAGAATCCGAAGCAGGCTCCAGGTTCTGAGCTGTCAGCACAGAGCCCGATGAGGGGCTCAAACCCACGAACCGTGAGATCATGACCTCAGCTGAAGTCAGATACCTAACCGACTGAGCCGCCCAGGTGTCCCAGGTACTTAAACTTTCTGAGCCTCTGTTTTCCTCACGTGTAAAATGGGTATAATAATGTCTCTGTTTTATTAACAGTCCTAATAACGGACTCCTTTGAGCGCTAAGTATTGTCCAGCACTTTCCCAGGCACTTTGCATGCAGTATCTCACTTAATCCCCACAATAATTTCGGACATAGCTGTGATCAGCACCTCCCCTTTACAGGTAAAAGAACAGAAGCTCGAGACAGTTCCATAACTTACCACTGCAGCTCAGGGCCCTAGCAAACACACTCGGAGATTTGCATGCAGGAAGCATATTGGCCAACGCTCTCGGGAACAATCCCGGCAAAGAAGATGCGTACCGAAGACCGTCCTGCAGACCGCAGAGAGAATCACATCGTAGAAGCAGAAAGCATCTCGGCTTACTCCAGGGCAGCTCACTGCCATCATGACAGGAGAAAGGCATTTTTCTCTGTGGATATTTGGAGGTTGTGTGGGATTTTACAAGCAGATTCTCTGCGGAAGAACCGGTTGGAGACGATGAGGGATATGTTACATGACACGACCCCCGAGCACAAATTCATCTAATTCATCCGAGGTCTTCCCACAACAGTGTTCTTATAAAAGCAACCCATTGTCTGTTCCTCAGGCAGTTGCTTGAGAAGATTATTTAGAGCGTTTAATTGATGTATTTTGATGCTTTTCACCTGAGATGGTAACTGATGATATGTTCGTCCATCTTTACTACGTGTTCAATCTTGGGCGGATAATACTAAAATAATTTTATAGCACTGAAAAAGACGGGAGAGAAAGTTAAGGGAATTGGAAAATAGGTCGGAAGAAAGTCTCCCGGGTACGGAACGGAGAGATAAAGCTAAAAATACAAAGAGGGGTCAATGGATATAAACAGTGCCATCAGAAAGGCTAAGATACACATAACTGAAGTCAGAGAGACAGAAAAGAGAAAATGGACAGAAGCACGTCTTAATAATGGCTAAGAATTGGGGCGCCTGGGTGGCTCAGTCGGTTAAGCAGCGGAATTTGGCGCAGGTCACGATCTCACGGTCCGTGAGTTCGAGCCCTGTGCTGACAGCTCGGAGCCTGGAGCCCGCTTCAGATTCTGTGTCTCCCTCTCTCTCTGCCCCTCCCCCACTAGCACTCTGTCTCTATCAAAAGTAAACATTAAAATTTTTTTAAAAATAATAATAATGGCTAAGAATCTTTCAGAACTGATGCGAGACATCACTTGCAAAATTGAAGATACCTAATAAATCCCCAGGAGAATTAAATTCAAAAACAAGAAGAAGAAAAGAAATCCAAACACAAGTGCAGCATCGTTTTCAATTGCAGGCAATAAACACAAAGATAACTTTTTCAAGCAGCCCAGGTGGTGTGGTCACATTATTTTCAAGAGGACACCGGCCTCGCGTGTTTCAAGGACCCCTGTGCACACCAGAAGGCAATGGGAACAGATAGAGGATGTCATGAAAATAACTGCTGATGAAGAAAGGAGAATCCTCTCAACCAGTCACAATATCCTTCCAGGATGAAGGTGAAATCAAATGGCTTCTGAGGAGGAAAAGCAGAGAGAATTTGCCAAGAGCAAACCCCACTAAGAGCAAGGATAAGCAAGGGGGAAGGTCAAATGCGGGAAGGACTGGAGAAGGCAAACCAGCAAACATGTGGGCTTACCTAAGTAAACATGGCTGTGTGCAATTATAATAATGTAACTGAATAATGTTTACATGGATTTGCAAGTACACAACGACAACCACAGCTGGTGTGTTAGGACAGAGGTCTGTGAAATGCAGGCGTTCTAAGTCCCTTGTATTATCCAGGAGGAGGGTCAAAGTACTACTTAGTGCTTTTCCTCGGTAAATCAAGGAACATGCTCCAGTTTTAGGACGAGCGCTAATAAGTAGTCCAAGTGTTTGTCTTCCAATTTAGCAAGGAAAAATAACATAATAAAAATATCAACCCTGGGGAGCCTGGGTGGTTCCGTCGGTTGGACATCCGACTCTTTGATTGTGGCGCAGGTCGTGATCTCACGGTCGTGAGATTAAGCCTTGCATCAGGCTCCACATTGAGCGTGGAGACTCCTTAGCATTCGCTCTCTCCCTCGCCCTCTGCCCCTCCCCCACTCGCAGCACTCTCAATAAATAAATAAATACATAAATAAATAAATAAATAATCCTAACCAGAGCAAGAAAGGAGAGTAAAAGGACAATTAAATAGAAAAATTATGGGAATGCCAGCTGGTGCGGCCACTCTGGAAAACAGTATGGAGGTTCCTCAAAAAACTAACAATAGAACTACCCTACGACCCAGCGATTGCACTACTAGGCATTTATCCACAGGATACAGGTGTGCTGTTTTGAAGGGACACATGCACCCCCGTATTTATAGCAGCACCATCAACAATAGCCAAAGTATGGCAAGAGCCCAAACGTCCATCAACAGATGAATGGATAAAGAAGATGTGGTTTATATATACAATGGAATACTACTCAACGATGAAAAAGAATGAAATCTGGCCATTTGCAACAACGTGGATGGAACTGGAGGGTATTATGCTGAGTGAAATTAGTCAGTCAGAGAAAGACAAATATCATATGACTTCACTCATATGAGGACTTTAAGAGACAAAACAGATGAACATAAGGGAAGGGAAATAAACATAATATAAAAACAGGGAGGGGGCACAACAGAAGAGGCTCATAAATATGGAGAACAGACTGAGGGTTTCTGGAGGGGTTGTGGGAGGGGGGATGGGCTAGCTGGGGAAGGGGCACTAAGGAATCTACTCCTGAAATCAGTGTTGCACTAGATGCTAACTAATTTGGATGTGAATTTAAAAAAATAAAAAAGAAAATTGAAAAAAAAAGAAAAATTAGCACATGACAATGTAAATGTAAACCCTAAAATGGCAGGCATTCATTAAATATAAATAGAATATATCAGGCTGGGTTTTGGCACATCTAGGATCTGACACCTGAGTCCAAGAAGTGATAGAGAGAGCGAAATGAGAATGGTTTTGCCAGATCTTTTAAAGTCACTGCCAGGAGCAGGTTGGTTTCAGATTCACAGCTGTCACAGGCTGAGACATGCACGGAGAAAGAATCCACGGGCACCAGAGACAGGTGCTAGGATCTGGCCAGGGCTTGGTCACAGGCAATGGCCAGGACCGTTGTTCCAAGACCCCCTGGTCCCAGCAGCCAGTGAGCGACACAAAACCCAGGGTGATGAGAGAATAAGTGTTGGAGTTAGCCCAAGTGACCCCTGGAAACGACACGAGGTAGGTACAAGAAAGAGAAAGACAGAAACCATAGTCCACAGGGCCAGCCAGAAAATTGGCAGCATGTAGAAGGAAATTGTCAGACTTGAAAAACAGCGAGCCTTTTAAATGGGAGGAGATGATGTGAACGCCATTTAACGGACATCAGATTGGAGTGATCACAAGACAAGGGTGATGCTGTCTCCATGAGCATGTGGAGCCTCACCTGGAAGGCTTAACGCTGGGTGATGGTGATGTTCACTGTGATTATAATGAAGAGGAGAAAGAGAACATAATTTGTATCCAAATAGTGCCACGCTCTCTCTCTCGGACATTTATTTTGGCAAAACCACCAGGTGCATAATAATAACAGCGCGTGAAAAGCTTGTTGTTATCCCTGGAACACCGTCAGCTTCTCTATCATTATCTGCCTTCATCTCACAGAGCCTATTCTCCCCTCAATTATAGAAGAGGAGACAGAGGCTCAGAGTGGGGAAGTGACATGCTCAAGGCCACTGGGGAAACCCATACTCAGATTTTGTCCCTTTGTGTCATTCTATTTCTTTTTTTTCACAGAAGTAGCTACATATATCAGAAGACTCGATACTGCTCAGATGTCAATGCTCCCAAATAGATCTAAGATTCAATGCATGGCAATAAAAATCCCACTGTGTGCTAATGGATACATTGAAAAGCTGCCTCTAAAATCCATGTGGAAAGGCATAGGACTTTGAATAGAGAAAACAACTTGGAAAGAAAAGAACCAAGTTGGAGGATTTATGCTACCTGATTTCAAGATTTATTATAAAGCTACAGCGTGAAGCTACAACATATAGCTATACTAACAGTGTGGTAAGAACCCAAATACAAATAAATAGATCAAAGGAACAGAACAGAAAGCATAGAAATAAACCCACAAATGCATGCTCAATCGATTTTTGACAAAGTTGCATGGGCAATTCAATAGACCAAAGGATATTCTTTTTAACCAACGGTGCTAAGACGACCTGATACCAAGAACGCACGAAAAACAAAACAAAACCCTTCGATCCATATCTTACAGTTGATACAAAAACTAACTCAAAATCTATTGTAGAAGTAAATCTAAATCTTGAAACCACCAACTTCTAAAAGAAAACAAAGAGGAAAATTTTTGTAAGCTTGGATTGGGCAAAATTTTCTTCGGCATGACCCCAGAAGCACAATCCATAAAAAGAATAAATCAATTCGGGGGCGCCTGGGTGGCTCGGTCTGTTAAGGGTCCAACTTCGGCTCAGGTCATGATCTCATAGTTTGTGGGTTCGAGCCCTGCATCAGGCTCTGTGCTGACAGCTCAGGCTGTCCAGGCTTCATGGCCTGGAGCCTGCTTCCAATTCTGTGTCTCCCTCTCTCTCTCTCCCCCTTGCCCGCTCACATTCTCTGTCTCTCTCTTTCTCTCTCTCTCTCTCTCAAAAGTGAACTTTAAAACAATTTAAAATAAAGAATAAATCAATTCAATCAAAGTTCATCAAAATTAAGAACTTTCTTTCCTTGAAAGGCACTGTTAATAGAATGAAAAGACAGGACAATGTGTGGAAGAAAATATTTGCAAATCACATATCTGTGAAAGGGCTTTCCTGAATATATAACAACGCTCAACCCCGAATAATGAGAAAACCAAAAAAAAAAAAATCCCAATTCAAAAAAAATAAGCAAAAAATATTTCAAGACATGTCGCCAGAGTAGATACACAGGTGCCAAGTGAAAGGAACCAGAGCAAAAAAGAGTAGATTACATAAAATGCCATTTGTAAAAGTCCTAGAAGGTACAAAGTGATCCATAGTGACAAAGAGCCCATCAGTTGTCACTGGACATGTGGCAGGCGGGGCTGAGAGGGAATTTCACTGGAACACTTAGGGGAGAGTGTTATGTATATATCCATTACACTGATGATTGTTATGATTTCAGAGGTGTATACATACGTCAAAACTTACCAAATTTTATGCTTTAAAATGTACAGTTGTTGTATGTCAATTATACTTCCATAAAGTTGTTTAAAAAGAAACAGAATATGACCAGAAGCCCCCAATCACCCCACTGTGCTCCATTTAAATCACTAATGCCCCCTCAAGGGTTACCAGGATCCTACTTTAAGAGCATAGATCATATAGGCTAGTTTTGAGCTTTACATAAACAGAATAACACAATACGTAACCTTTTGTGTCCAGCTTCTTTTATTCACCGTTATGTGTCTGAGGTTCATCTACATTGTTATAAATCTGATCAAGGTAATTGCTTGCTAAAACAACCCCACCAGCACTTCTCAGAGAAATACACCAAAATCCAAACTCTTCATGCCTTAATATTCACAATGTCCAGAATACAATCCAAAGTCGCTCACAACACAGAGAGCCAATGACTCTAAAACAGTGAACATAATAATGCTCAACAAGGAAAATGATAATTTACCTACAATGAATGAAAAACAGGAAGTTTCTGGAAAAAGAGAATGCAAAAAATAACCACATTTTAATATTGAAAAAATACACCAGCTAAAATAATAATAGGGACACCTGGGTGGCTCAGTTGGT